TAATCTATCTGATTTTATTTGCTAACATATCACACAGATTTAAACATTTCTCTCGCACTCAAACGTCAGTACCGGTTGCCTACCGGTCAAAATTTTTATAAGAATGACCGGTCAACCGGTCGGTCCGATCCGATCTGCATATGTTCACCGGTAACCGGTGACCGGCCGGTACCGGTTATGATTTTGTTGACCGGTTGCATCTCTGGATGGCGTTTGGCACTTGCTATCAATGGACTTCCACGGACCGATTATACCGATTTCGCAACGCGGTAACAAATATATTATCTCTCTCACCGATGTACTATCCAAATTCGTCATTGCAAAAGCAGTTCGCGATTGCACAGCTGAAACAGCAGCACGTTTTCTCAAGGAGGAGGTCATTTTAAAATATGGTACACCTCGGTGCATTTTGACCGATAATGGGAGTCATTTCACAGCAGCAGTGATGGAAGAATTATTTAAACGAATGGGTGTTATTCATCTATATTCGACACCGTATCATCCGCAGACTAACGGACAAATCGAACGATACAACGCTACCATGGATGCAAAAATTGCTGCATTATCAAATGAACGCCGTACAAACTGGGACGAACAGCTACCATTCGTAACTTTCGGTTATAACACCAGTATCCACGCAACAACTGGACAAACACCGGTCCAAATGATGTACGGTCGAAAACCCGTTCTTCCATTTGATCAACAATCACCTCTCGTTTCCCTACCCCAAGATCCTGAACACGTACAAAAATTAAACGAATATCTATCGGGTCGAACTGGTGATGCTAAAAGAAATATCCTCGACCAACAACAAAAATATAAACAACGCATCGATCTAATCCAAGCTACAAAATTGGTGCTCTCGTTCTTGTAAAAATACTCAATACGCGACATAAATTTGATATCCGCCATGAAGAACCATTCAGAATTTTGCAGCAAATCGCTACTAAAACCTATGTCGTACAGCACGTAAAAAAAGCGTCACTTGTAAGACAAGTCACCGTCGATTCAATCATACCATTGTTCGAACGTACATATCTTAACGAATAGTCAAACAGTATGAGAATGCAGTTAGTATCAATGCAATCATGATGAATTAATTACTTAATTTAGCAATGCTAGTCGGGGAGATAGTTTTCCACTTCTCACTGCCTGGAGGGGTATTAAGTAATCCGTCCATTATTGATTCTCTTGATTCTAACAATTACAATCTCTCTTGCATTCCCCACACAGATTCGTATGATTATCAATTGTAATGTTTCGCGAGCATTACTGTTACTATTATTAAATTTATACGAATTGTTATCAGTTTCTCATTTTCCAGGGCCAGTGGAAATATAAAGCTGGTTCAATGTGTTACGCAAGCGTTTGGCAATAAATTTGAATCATTGATCACTAATTTACTGTCTTATTATAAAATGAAACTTTGTAGACGTTTCATGTTATACTTCTGTCAGTAGAAGGGGTCGACTTGGCTATTGTGCTCTACTGGACCCCTGGATTTACTCTTTTCTTCCATCGTTAATCGTTAAAACCAGTCAGATTTTTCTATTTAGTCAACTACCGGTGAACATTTTCAGATTTTCAGTTTTGCTGAAATTTTCTTTGTGGCTTCCTATTTTTTAACAGTTTAGTGCGTGAGGACACCCACTTTTATTGGTGGGGAGGATTATTACAGGCTAGAGCCTTGATGTATAGCGGCATATATAGGTGGGTGCAGGGACATCGCTTATACTCTCATCTCCCATCCAGCTACAATCATCACTGCAGATGCGAAATAGACATGTACATATTTTAAGAAGTTTGTACCGTGGAGCAACGATCACGATCTGTTATGCTTTCGATGGTTGCCTGTTTATTTTGGCAAGAAGAGTTTAGATGGTGCAATAACGACCTTCGGTGAGGGGTGAGTTAACAAGAGCATAGACAAAGAAACCGTTACAATTGGTCATAGGAATCTTCGTAGGCCAAATACAAGTGAACCTATTCCAATTGAAACAAACTGTTTGATTCGCTGTCTTTCCGACTGTTGGCTCAATGGCATCTTTAACCCACCCCGACCCTTCTGCTCCACAACGGTCAGGAGGGACGGAATAGTTGGCAAGACGAGTGCCTGCAGCGCCCTCAAAACGAACCCACGTGGGTGTTGAGCTAAAATACGACGCATCACTCTCGACTCTGGGAGTTGTGTTATTTGCGTGACGAGTACCATCCGTGATTGACGTATAGTTCCAACATTGTTGAGGAAGAAAGTTCGGCGTCGATGTTGTTGCTAGAATGTAGCAAAGTGGTACAGTTATAATCAAATGATTAACATCGAATGATAACAGCTTAAGAAGAAAAGTAAGTGATGAAATATTCTCTTAACTAAAGACGGAGAAAGGTCGAGGAATTCATTATTTTCGTGTATTACCTATATTCTCCTGGCTAAAATAAATAATAAACCTAATTTTTTCGATTAATTCTCTACACTATTGTTGTTTGATCTCAAATGTATGCCACAGGTACATCTCTTGCTACTCTGTCTACTCGCAAAGTTAGACAGCAAGAACTGTCATGGATAACTGCACATGTCTCGTGTACTCTTGTGTGACTGAACCCCAAGTAGGGGGTCGTTAAGGGATGAAACCGGCCCCCTCCAAAAGTTGTTAATTGATGTTATAGTTAATTCGGATGCCAAGAATCGATTGCCGTTCGAATTAGACTTATAGGTTACATAATGGCTGCGCACAGCTCGCTTTAAAGTGTGAAATTACATTATCGATCGTGGGGGTCACTGTATGGGAGATTTTTTGCTCTGACTAAATGTTTTCTCTTGAATTATATATCAGATTGAAGCTCTTTCTTTGTTCTATCGAATGTGATAAAAACACAAAGGGGAAAAAGCGGACTCCTGGACTCCCATGGACTCCTGAAGTCCAGGAAGAGTAAAGTGTTCTTTTTTGGGAAGTGAACACTTTTTGTTCTTTCTCTTCATCGGGACTTATAAGATCGTATGGATGATTCTTTTTAGAGAGTAGAGAGATGTAATTTTGGAAATATCAGCATCCAGTTTTGTAGCTTGACGAGAGATACAGAATCCCCTATTTTACTTTTCATTTTGATTGAGTTTAAGTACTAAGAAACGTCACTTTGTCAGAAGGCACTATAGTGTGGAGAATTAATCGAACAAATTGGGTGTGTTATTGCTTTTGGCAAGAGGAATATAGAGGGTTATCTTTAACACTAGAATGCCAGAAATTTTCATGACCTAGAACGCCCAAAGCGGTCATATTAATACTGTGCTAAACATTAAAGATGAATCTTAAAAATGAATATACAATCTTGTAGAGAATTAAATTGTCTATCGTTTGGTATAGTAAGGAATTTTTTTTTCTGAAATGATAGTATTGTATGCAGTTTGTTTTATTAGAGATAAAAATCAAAAACGGTCAAAATGACCGCTACGGGCGTTCTAGTGTTGAAAAAAAGAGTATTAGCGTTGTTCTTACAGGCAAAAAATGGAACTCCTCCCTGTAACGATGATACAAACCAACCATGTAAGTCATCCTTTGTTTATATGGACTTTCTATAAACCCTATAGTTTGGCGTACCCCTGACTTGAAAAATTACATAAGATGCGCTGCGACACCTATTTCCACGACTCAAAAACGCGTTCTTGTGCGATTAAAACACATTCCACGGAGTTTTTACGCAGAAAAAATGTATTTCAGAGCTTCGGAACAAAATGATATGAAACGCTGCTAAGAAGTGAGCGTTTCCGAAATGCGTTTTTGTTCGCAGAAATTTTATCCATAGGTAGCCTCTTCGTGGGAACGTTTGTTTCGAATATACTGCGTATAGAATTTTTTCCACACCCATCAGTCCGGTCTCATAGCCCGAACGGGATATATATCCCGATGAGGATATATATCCCGTTCGGGCTATAAAAATATATCCTGATCGGGCTATGATATCCTGATCAGGATATATATCCCGTTCGGGCTAT